GAAATACAGAGAGAGGAACGTATAAGAGCTATTCACTTTGCCAATGTAGATGCAACAAGATGAAGGCTAAAAAGACAGATTCGAGATGGAAGAGAAAGGTAGGTGATGTTCATCCTAAAAATCAGAAAGCATATCTCAGATTGGGTAGCTTAAGGATTTCTTGGCGCCAGGATAGAGAGCTTGAAAACGACGCGGGATGATGATTTTACCTGTCTTTGGATCTATCGCTGGACCTCCAACATGACCATATACACAAAAGTTGAGCTTAGATTGGTTTGGTGGGTCGTGATCGGAGTTAGTTGGGCTGTGTTCGAGTGCAAATGGGCTGGGAGGTGAACCTGTGAAGTATCGACTCGGTGGGCTACTAAATGGATCAAACTTTCTGAACTGGGCTCCAAGTAGATTGGAAGGCAAACTTGCGGGCTGTTTGATAGGTGGACTGTGAATCTCGTGTGATGTGACATCGGTTCGAAATGGGTCAAAGAGGTTATAAGGAGGCAGACCGCTGAGGTTCAGGGCGGGAAACATGCTTTCAAACTCGTTTGCTGGATTGAACTGCTGCTTTTGCTCCATGGAAGATGAAGTATCTAAGCTCTCAGAGTCCGTAGAATGCGTCTTGGCCGAGGTGATAAAATCATTTGCGGTATCGAGCACTGATGGCGATATCGAAAAGGACGTGTTCACGTTGTGTTCCGTTTGAAACGTAGAAGGTATGGGATGATGCTTGATAGAGGGTACTTCGTTCAGTTGATAAACCGGCCATGTCCACGCTTTGGGGTTCTGGAAAGGAAGAGGTATATTGACCGGACCGTATGGATGAGCGGGAGGGTGAGGTAAAGGTCGTGGCATCATAAAAGTAGGTGAAGTCTTGATGGGGACCTCGACGGCTGCGGCTGCCAGGGTAAGTTCTTTGAGCAAATTTATGGATGGGTATTGACTTCCATGTCCACGGTTCTCAGTCATTGGTTTCAAAGGTGCCGATTCCAAGTCAAGCCTTTTCTTCCTTCATCGATTGAACCCGCAGACATTCAAAGGCAAAAAGACGAACGTCAAATCGAATCTCGAGGGAAGCGATTACTTGCACATCTATCTCATAAGATATACTGACGACGATTGTGGCGCGGTGGCTTTGGCAAGTCGTATCTTCAACGGTGCATCCCCATCCAGCCAAATTTTCCGGTCAAGGTAACGAACAAGGGTCACTGCATGATGGTTGTGAAGAACACTGGTGCAAAGATGTTATTAAAGATTCACGTCGGTGCGGGATCCAGCTCAGAACATCCTCACTTGACGAATCCAACTCCACGGCTCACCCCCGGACCGGGGCATGGCCCAAGTTTATCCCGGATGACATGAACCTAGATGTAAGACGCAACAAAGAGATCAACCGTCAACTTATCATTACTGGTTGAGAATCCAATCATCAAACATGTCAACCTACGGTCAAAATCGGGATTCCGATGAAAAGCTGGGCTAGATCAAATTCATTCCAAGACTTTGGGAAGTTGGCCAAAAACACATTGGTTGGTGATGGTGGGGTTTCATTTAATGACGCGATGGCCGAAGACGAACTCTTTGAAGTCAAGAGCAGTCATTTATGATATTAGAAAGCCCCAATGCAGGGTAAAATAGAATGATTGTCAGCTGTGTCATTAACAAGAAGAAGAAGCCACACAGAAATGCAAGAGTGATATAATGTTTATGAGGAATATAGGAGGTGAAGAAGCAGGTGAAACATTTAAGAACCGAATTGGCTTGTGAAATTTTCAGAACATATACATTGAAGCTTGAAGCATGCGCAATTGAAGATGCTACTCATCAGTTCTGCTGACTCACTCAAAGTGAGTGTCATATAGTGGAGGAATAAAGGAAGGTCCACCACCACAAGCTGCATATCTTACGCATAGTTAGATAGCGCTCTTGTTCAAAAAAGTAAGGATTTACGGAAGCGCAAGTCTGCCAATATAAAATATGATTGGAGTATATCTTGCTTCTAGGGCCTTCTGCAGCTCCTGGCTCGGCCGAGGAGTATGAAATAGGATACACAATTTCTTGAGACGATACAATCACCTACATGCTCATTCGTGTTCAGCCCTTCGGAATCAGGCAAGTCGCCGAGATGAAACTCGAACTTGTTGGAGTCAATCGGGCTGGCGAGCGGGAAGATGAGTGAGAGAATTTGTTGCATCATACTTCAAAATGAACCAAGACGTTGAATTGAGGACGTAAGATCACTATTGATGGAAGGAGACCGGATCTCTGAAGCCGGACCACTACAATGAAATGTTTCAATAAGCCTGTCACTTTGTATGGGTGGTGAACGTCCGTGGCGTGAAGTCAAATGCCGAAGATACTAAGGCGGAGGAGGTTATGAGGTCGATTAACGGCGATTATACAAAGCCCCGGCAGCGCTCACAAAGAGACAAAACAATGATCACGAGTAATGCGATCGAGACATCGAATAGCACAATGGTGGTCACGATTTGAGTCTAAAAGATTGGACCTATGGCAATCAACTCACGAACCATGCGTTATCACCCCCTAAGCTCTGGTCACAGGTATGTAAACCACGAGTGAAATCAAGTTTTTGGTGATGGCTAGTTAGCGACTCGCCGCGGCGAGTGATGCTAGGGAGACGTAGGATCTGACGATCATGAGGAATTAGAAGATGAAACCAAAGGAATTTCAAGTCAACAAGCGCTTTTCTTCGTTGGTTGGCTTAAAGATCCCATAGAAGATTCACGTCCGCACTGGTTCCCTTATTTACAATTTTTCTCTAAACTCAAACCATCAAATTTGTCGTTCTTGAAGATTGTTTTTGAAGTATTTTGAGCTTGGTAAAAGTACGTCAAGATTCTTCTTGCTGGGTGAGCGAAAGGGTCTACAAGCCTTTGCTCTCTGAGGTTACGTCACATGATATTCCCGGTATCGGTAGCTCGCGTTGATAGATGATGAAGGGTAGGGTCAAAGACTTGGCTGGTTCTGTAGTCGTATCGTAATCGTACTCCGCTAATCTTCATGATATGGAAAGGTATCAAGAAACTGAGAATGAAAGGGAAGTATTTTACAGCTACTGCATCTGTAGGTCACTGTGTTGTGCGACGGCCACCGACGTTCCTTCTTCAGCCTGATCCCACGATAAAGCAGTCACGGGAGACAATCACCTGCGAAGCAGAACGTCATAGCATAGGTCAAGCTTGCAATTGATATCCTTTTAGGCTAACTGTGTGTGACGTGTGCCTTACCATCTAGAACCTCAGAAGAGTGATCGGAACGGAAACTACAAGCCCGGCTTCTCATGGGTAAGCATTCGCTAGCTAGGGCAAACTGAACAAGAAATACTCCGAATCAAGTATTCCGAGAAGTAGTAATTAATGGGCGTCGCCAAGTATTCCAGAGGTAGCTTAGCTTATCCGATGTGATCAAAGAAAATGACTTCGGACGTTCGTCACCCGACAAGAGGTTATCTTTAAAATCTGCAAGCCCTTTACAAAGTCGTGGTTGGAGATGATCTCGGACTGGTCTTTGCCCGACGAGCCACATTATAGGCTTAGCTCATGAGTAGTCTCCCCTACATGCAACGTGTGTCATACCGTGTCGAGGTCACCGTCACATTGGGAAAGTTCTTCAGCATGGAATACATTCATGGCGTACGTAGTCAGCTGAGTTATTCACAATGCACTTGAGTTGATGAACTCATCCAAAACCCTTGCGCGGTAAGCTGCACCTCAGCTCAGATATGATGATATATCGAAATGCCTTCCGCCCAAAAGTTGACTGCTGTTGACTGACACACATTTAAATTGCGTAGCCCCTGAAAGAGAAGCACCTTTGGATGGGAATAGGATTAACGACTGGCCCGTGCGTGACATCTGTCCTACATGGGTCAGCAATAGTTTGGAAGCCTGTGCTAATCTCTGTAGTAAACCGCAGGCGCTCTTTTAATAAGCGCAGCTTGGCATTGTGAAAGTTGGTGCTGAGCCCACAATATATAGATGGTTGATGCTGAAGTGGTTTGAATCGTAACCCCAAGATGACTCAGGATGAGTCTTGAAAGGATGAGTGAATACTAGTAGTCACCAATAGCTCGCCTTCATGATTGATTGTGATCCGTCATCAAGAATACCTCTTCGTACGAAAGGACGAAAACAATTATTTGTAGCTTTTCACATCCCGTTGGACTTGGAGGGACAAGCCCAAGCGCCTGCTTCATATTAGCTCGTCTGGAATTTAGCCATGCTTTGACTGGAAACGGTCTAGATCAAAGGCGAAAAAACAACTTCAACAACTAGGCCCTGGCACTTGATAGATGCATTTGAGTAATCAGCTCTTTCAAACCATATACTCATCTCAAATTCCTTGATAATTCAATTTGAAAGTGCAACCAAATCAACAACAAAAAGAGGGGGAGATTACTAGGTCATCCGGTCCTAAGTCTCATGAGCCAAGATTCAAGAAGAAAAGTAATGCGGATTGGTTGAAAGGGTATTTCAAATAGAACGGGGCCTTACATAGAGCCCTTGGGGTAAGCGAGGCGGGACAGTCTTCTATGAAAATCTTTTTGGTGGCTACTGGATGGCATCCAAATGGCAAATCTCTGCACTGCACGATGACTTGCGATTTGCAATTTGAGTGTCCTACAGATAGAAACGAGACTGAAAACACGTTGCTTTGTTGGCAGACTCATGGCCATGGTGGATCAGCCACAGCTTGAATTCTGAATGTCCTCTGATCCAGTATAGGTTTGGCCTGACTTGACACAAGTCCAAAAACTTACGCAGGGCGCTTTTGACCTCGCAAGCTCGGTAGTTAGCTTGAAGCTCCGTGCCCTACACAAGCTTGCAAGGCAGAAGTGTACTGTTGCTTCTTCAGCCAAAATTTGGGTATCTTCAGCGGAGGTTCCAATCAATCTCTTGGCCGCTGTGGCAATTATGCAGATAATGAGGTCTTTCAACATCACAGACAAATCTTCATGGACTATTTTGATACACCAGCATCAAAAAGTAAGAATGAAAGTCGAATGTAACCACAAGGTTTTCAGGTTTTGATTAAGTAGAGGGAACCATGTCAAACAGTTGATGCTTCCTCTGAAACTCCCTACTTTTTTTGTTATGTAAATGCAAGTCATTATAAAAAGCCACTTTCCAACAGATCCTTTATTTGCCAAACAAGTATCATTTAACTATTTTATTAGACCTGTAAAGTGGGGAGCATTGAAACATAAAAAATCATCCCAGCTTAACAAAAAAAGATCTCAAGTTTCAATCCGAGAGGGAATTAAGATTCAAGTCAAACAGTTGATCTTGTGAATTTTAAGTCAGAGGTATAATCCGGTATAATGGAATACCCTACAAAAAAGTCTTTACATGTCAGATGAAGTTTGACTATTTTGATAGACCAAAACAGAGCACAGAAGTGGTGTCAGTGAAGAAGCACCTCACTGCTCAGCGTCTAGTATTTCAAGAAATGTTACGATAGATCCACCCAAGCATCTCTTTTGTCTGGTCCATTTTCTACCCATAAAACACCTAAATGTTTAATCCTTCCAACTGGTCAATTCTTTCGCACATTTCATCATCAATATCGATCACCCGTCATGATGATGCATAAGTTGAAGAACATCATTTCCCTCACAATAAGTTCTCTTGTTCTATTAGCATCAACTTCACTTGCAACATTTTATTTTCCTTCTGGATCCACAATAGACTGTTTAAGAACATACCAACCTAGTAAGTCTTGATACAAAAAAAGATCTATTAAAAAAATCATAAATCGAAGACTAATTAACCTAGTCCTGCTTTTCTTTCCAGCAAATCAAGAAGGTCATGCTTGGAATTTTGCTCTAGGTTTTTATAGATCATTAGGAGATTATGAGATCACTTCTCGTTCTAATCCATTTAGACCATTGAAAAGGAAATTTCAAGTCTTTCAAATTATCGTAGGAGAAAGACCAAAAAGATTATCACAATATGGTAAGGCGAAGCGTAAACCTTTATTCACTTTAACAAACCAATGAACTCCAATCACTTGATTTTGGTGGCTTTAAATTGGTTCGCTCATTGTTGTATTTCATGTATTTGGTGTCAATTTGATATATCTTTAGATGCTCTTATACGTTTCCGAGATGAAATGGAAGGGTTAGATGAAAAGCTTTTAAATGGTAAGTAACAATAGTGACTGAAAATTGAAATCATCTTTTCTGGGAAACTTTTCAAACAAACCATTCCCAGCCATAACCTGCGTGCAAAAAACCTGATACTCTGTTTTAAATCACAACTTTTAGCTCGATTTTTTCAATCTTCACCAGATGGATTCCTTGAATTAAAGATAAAAGGTGAAGCAACAAATGAACATTTGCAAGGTCAACCAAAGATGCGTTATGTAAATCATGAGGCACATTTCAAATTCAGTCTGGATCCGAGCAATGGGTTTGTAAAGCTTGACGAAGTCACAATGGTTCTTGGAGTAGAACGTCAATCCCGTGTGACAGAGGATTTGTTTCAGATGCTTGAACAGGGAATCATATTCACTGGTTGATTTAAGCAAGTACATTGAAGGCATAAGCTTCCGCTTAGGCTTCTGATTGAGAAAATGAAACTCGTAGAATATCAGAGCAATGAACAACCTTCCACTGTGTATCATCAAGCAAGCCTTCCTCAAGGACACAAAGAACTAACAAAATGGATTATCCACAATAGAACACAAAAGGAAAACGATTTACCTATACACAACACATACACACACAAATAAAGGATACTATTGGTTGAATAGGCTTCAAAGGAATACACGATCTTTTTACAAACATACACACACACAAAAAGGAAGTATAGAGTTTTTTGAATACTGATACAAAAACAAGTTCAACAAGAAGATTCACAAGTCCGGAGAAAGAAAATGAAAGAAAGAAACAATTTTATCTCAACTCTTTTAAGCAGCATCAATTGATCTATTTCCACCACTCCCACTACCTTCAACATCAGCCACAGCAATTCCACAACCTTCATTACTACCACCAATTCCACCATTCCCATTCCCAAACCCATTATTTTTATCATTTAAAGATTTTTTGTTATTGAATTCTAAATGACATAATAAATTTGACCAAATCTCACTATAAGATGGCATTAATTTTAAAACTTTCTTTAATGAATCTGAATCTCTTAATTCATTCCAATGTGATAGCATATAATCTACTTCCACTTTTTTGATTTCTTCATAAGCTGTTGTAAAAGCTGAAAACACTTCCATTGGGATACTGTATGAGATATCAAAACAAGTTAGTTTGATTGATATTTTGATATTTTGATTCTTTGAGTGAGAGAGAGAGAGTAAAAAATTACTAACTTTTGGACTGTTAGTGATCTTGTGATATGTTCATACGCTCTACTTTTTAAATCTACTAAATTCAATTTGTCTGCCAACCTACAATATTCATGAAACAACATACAACATTAGCAAGCAGTTCCAAGAGGAATCAAGCAGTTACACATACCGATAGATGGCTTTAGCACTACAGATCACTTCGCGTTGTCCGATGAGTCCATTGATATTACTAGAGACAACCGAGGCTTTAACAAATTCCTTACGAGAAGGATATTCAAAGACTTGTCCATTGGCTTCCGCTGCGTCTCTCAAACTGTGATATGTGGATGTCAAAGGAGCAAAAGTGATCGAGCTGGAGGGACGAAGAGGAATCAGTAAGAGGTAGGCAAAAAGGAAGAAAGGATGATACTAACTCGGTGTAGAGAAAGAATAGGAGAGCTTTGAAGGTTGTAAAAGCTGCATCTGTGACTTCTATCACTGTACGTGGAGGATGTCGGTTTTCAACAGCCTTTTTGACCTTTGTCAAAGATGAAGACGTAAGAGCGCTTTTGGTCGCGCCAGCTTCATCTGCGGGTGGGTCTACAGGTGGAACTACCACAGACTGGGTGTCGTTCGAATCGAGGGTGACAGAGGATGGATCGTCTTCTTCAACATCATCTTCATCAAACGCCACGGATGAAGTGTTGATATCCTCATCTTCCTCTATATCTTCATCCGAACCAGATGTTTCATCATCCGAATCTTCTTCCATTAATTCATCTTGCTCTGTTTCTCGGTCCTTTTCATCTATAGATCTTTCAAGATCATTAGATAATTTATTAGAAGATTCGGCGAAGCCTGATTCGAACATAGTAGAAAAGTATTCAGATCTTCTTATTAATATCTTTTTGGCTGCATAAAGTTTTCGGACTGATTGTTCTTTTGGTTTTGAAGGTCGAATGATATGAAAGCAAACATCAGAATAAATTGGATCATTGAAAAGTGATGAATAGGCTAGGTGTAAGTCTACTGGGATCGATCGTTTTTGCGCCTGCGCTGTCGGAACTTGGGCCGGTGGACTCGGACTGGATGAGAAGAGAGAGAGTGAGAGAGGTACTGTAAGCTTTGCGAAATTGACAAGAAAAGAGTTCAGAGAAGAGACTGACGAGTAAACGATGGTGCAACAGACCAAGAAAGCATCGTTATATTTAGCCTGTGTAGTGAGGGATGGTCAGTTCGCGGGTCCATTACGAGATCATCAAATAGACGGTAAAGAAAAGAAACAGAACCTACCGAAGGATTAGAGTAATAAGCATCATTTCTTCTCCAGTACTGAGCCCATCCCCAGTTTCTTGCCTCGTGACTGAAGGCATGATCATTGGCTTCCATGGTCTTGTAAGTCGTGCGTCGGTCTAAGCTTTTGATCTGAATCCCACAAATGAACATCAATTTAAGGATAGGCAAAGAGGAAAGAAGAAAAGAGGAAGAAAAACCGAAACTCAACTTCGAAGGTGAATTTGAATAAACCTTCACGATGCCATGGTACCTGTGCAGGATCAAGAACTTTTTGCTGTACATGATTGACTGTAGTTTGAAAAGAGTATATAGATACAATCAGCTTCTAGACGATGAGTTGTATACAAAAGTGATCAAGTAATAAAAGAAACTGACTAGAGGTAATGGGTGAAGGATTTTGAGTAGTACCTTTTTCGATTTCTTCATGAGTAGGTTGACAAGATAAATAAAGCGAACAATACTGATCATGTCCAGAATTTCTGCGTGATTTGAAACGAGAGTTTTCAATGAGATTGTTTTTTAAGATGATGATGAAAGTTTACTAACGGGTAAAAGAACACCTGCCATTTCCCATCACCAAAGAAAACGGATTTGACACATTTTGATTTCGTTTCACCTTTCGAGGTATCGAAGATGTGTTTTAAATTTGAAAGCTTCCATTCCAATGAGACCTGTCCAAACGAAAAAAGTGTGATTACCATTAGTCAAACTTATAAAGAGAGAAAGAGAGAGCGATTGAGGAGAACTTACACTTTTGACTTCTAAGAACTCTTGGTTTTCTGCAATCGGTGCTTTGATAGCAGTTGAAGATGATGATGATGACATGGTGAGCACTTGGCTGAGTATGTGATGTTGATGAATCGATGATGTTTCGTTATTTGTTGATGATGGTTCTGGATGGGCTTGAGAAGTTGATTGGTGATTGGTTTGTGGAATGGTAAACAGGGGAGGTTGAATCAAGGAACTACATTAAAGTGCTGTGACTAAGTCCAAAACTGTAGAACCACTCGGGTCCCATTCAATCGAAAGACCCTTAATTTATGTAAATTCTGTAGCACCTCTTCAGATCACTTCTTTCATTTGTATTGTTTCTTGGAGGCACTTGTCAACTTCTTTCTTGGTTTCAGAGGTGGCATCAGGTTTCTCAAACTTTGATGAATGACGATGCAGGCATCATACAAAAGGTATGTATACAAATATATGATAATTATTTGGTCTGGTCTTGAACTTTGAATCTGAGAATGTGCCTTGCATGAAGGGTTAGTCATGACTCCAAGTCTTGCTCATGAGCCATGAGCACAAAGGGAAGGATTGAATGAAAAGCACAAGCAAAGGTAGTCTACAAAAACATTGCCAACATGATTATCAGGTATGGCAATAGAGTGGAGTTAGTTTTCCTTTGTGCTGGATTTGGATTTTTTTGTTTGCTGTGATCAATTTGCCCATATTTCTCAAGGTTATCTTTCAAAGTATTCACAATTGTGTTCAAAATGTGTTTATGGAAACTCATCAAGGAGAGCAATTTGCATTGTAGTTACATATTCCAGTCCCTTGGGACTACAGCTACAAGCCTTCTCAGAAGCTTGTCCAACCAATGTGTGTTTACGCTTTGCTCACAAAATTAATTGTTGTGTGACTCTTTGCAAGGCATTGAATACCATTATGTCAGCTGAACCCATATATGTACTCACCTCAGAGACATAGTCACCAGAATGCAAAGAGTAGTGGGCCTAGTATGTAGGTATCTGACTGGTTCTTTGGATCTAATCAAAGAGTTGGCATCTGTTGGCATGTAAATCCGTATGATTTTAGGCTGGCAAGCTGCATGGAATCATTGAACTATTTTATACTTCCAAAAGACCTTTACCTTCAGCTAAGCTTGATTCCAATGAATTTACAGCCTTTCAAGAATGGGCTTAATGACTTATAGATATTGGTATAAAATAGTGCATCTTGGAGGAGATTGGATCTTCTTGCACAATGTAAAAATATCATTCCAATCTCAAGAGTGGCATTGTATGAATTGACTTTTAAAAAATTTGGGCAGGTACTAGACAGAATGAAATGCTTTTGATTTGAGAGATACAGTTTGTTTTTTGTTTGAATCAAAATGTTTGGAAGATTTTTTAATTTCTCCAAAAACCGCGCAGGGCCTAATTTGTCCATTTTAACATTAACTTGATCTCTATGGACTTGATTTATCCTTGTATGTCTTGATTTAAAGAAGAATTTTTGAAACTTGTGACTCTTGATGTGCATTTTGTGAGCGAGCAAACATCTCAGATGTATTGTAGGAGCCCATTGCATGGAAAGACAATTTTGAGAGAATAAACAATTCTTCAAATACTGAGGCTGTATTATGGAGGTTTTGGGGATCTTACACTGAAAGTTAAACAGTCATTTCTAGATCATATGTTTCTTCCTTGACACGGTGAATAGTAAAAGTATGACTAGGTGGAACTTCCATATCGCGGCTTATAATCCAATTTACTATACAGCTGTTGTTGCTCACCTTGTTCCTCGGTGCGGAGGCAAATTACTCAGGCAGGTAGGATAGCATTGCTATCATTGTAATTTGTGAGCATAAAAACGCAGAGCCTTTGCTGAAAAAATCTCAACAATTACAGTCACTTGCCAGATCATTACCGAGGTTGGCTGTGATTATGACACAAACAAGCAACAGAAGTCCGCATTACACATTCATTAGCATGCCCTTTAGAGCGGTAGGAATAAACATCAAGCATTCCACAATTCTTTCCTGCTTGATTGCAGTCTCACTAATTTCATGAGCCTACTTACTAGCTGGCAGTATGCATGAATGCCGTCACCAGATGGTAGCAAATCTCCAGACGACGCGTTTTTTCAAGTGCCCATGACAATGGATGATTTGCTTGGCCGAACTCCATCTCAATGGTCCTGATGTCGCGCTTTGGCCGAAAATTAGGACCGCTGAACCTGTTGGGGTACGCAGATTGCCCTGAAAATTTGAATGTCTTGTTTGGCGATCGTAGGTAAATCATTTCAAAAATGAAGAGTGAAGAGGTCACGAAGAATTGTTCAGGGAGTGGGTGAACAATCTCAGTGAACCTGACATTATGAAGGTCGCATGCAACACAACCAAGCGTAAATATGTGGACCTGCTTTCCTCAAAAGAATCAGAGTTTGATGGGAAGCGGTTGTGATGAAGATCCGTTGTGGAGAGTACAGTTTGAAGGATGACTGAGCCCTTGAGTTACTATGATTCTTTGCACAGAAAACAAACCGAGGTACCAAAAATTCAGGCCCACATATGACCAGGTTCAGCATTGATCTTTGTCAGAACGTGATTTTTGGGGGCCTGCAAATTGCCTTGGTGAGGTACACTGCTTCAACTTCAAGGTCGAGGAATGGGCTCACATATGTGGCAAGGAACAACAGCTGAGCAGAGGGCGTGATGCAAATCAAGACTCAGTTGTTCCGAATCCCACTGGAAATCCTATAAAAAGTCCTCCGCTTCTGAGCTGTTCCTCCTTCTTTCCTCCTTCAACCATCACTATCCATCTACAAACCCTCATTATCAAAACTTAGCAATACCATTATAACTTTTTTTGATAAACAATTAACATTTATTAACATTTATATCTCGCTCTTCATCCTTCACTTCCTCAGCCTATTCTCCTCTTTACATTCTTCTCCATCTTCCTTGTACGATCATCATAGATCATTCTCCCATCACCTTTAAACTCTCTTCATCCCTCGCAAAATCGACATGGCCCCTCCATCTATCACTGCTTTCCTCAAGAACCTTCCTCCAGTTGAAGATGTAGCGGATCTCAGCGATTCCGAAGAGCTCCCACCTGTGTGTCCAAGTCGTAAAACCTTTACGATTGCACCAATGAGGAACCATCCCATCCTCAAACGTGAGTAACTTTCTTCGAAGCTGTTGACTACTTTGTTGCATATACTAACTTCATCTTTACTGTCTCTTTCTGTTGTCTCTGGTAGAATATCTACATTCACCATCCGCAAACGCCGCACCCGATGTTGCTCGTCCATTACCAACATGTTGCACGGAGTGGTACATATGGTCTGGTGATGAAGTAATTGAGGATCCTTACTGGCATCTCCCCCGAAGATCTTCAACCTGGAACATTAGAGACGACCGGACTGGTGTTCCCGAAAACCTTGATTGGGCTTTTGGAATCCCGAATCCTTGTAATCGGTTTTACGAAGGCGTCTACGGTGGTCAGAAGCAGATCAAGGATGCGCCTCATGATCTTGCTCGCGTCAATGGCAGTTTGGTGAATGGTGAACCTCGAGGACTCCTTCCAAGTGGATTCCGAACACCAAACCGACGCCGGTCATTATCGCCCCCTCAAACTAGGGCCGGTTCTCCTTGTCTTTCGGGACACGACAATCCAGACTTGTTTGAAGAATCGGATAGACTGGAGGACTCTCGAGATTCTCAGCTGGAAGACGCTCATGTTGAAAATTCATCTCAACATTCATTACCTTCCGACTATGAATTTCGAGACTTTCATCACCCGGATGAGAACCTCAGCGAACATGAGGATGGTGCAGGCGCTGAGACTGGGGATGGGAAAGCGGATGCCGGATATTCGTCTTGGGATGAAACACCGGACAACAATCAGGAGGAGCTAACCGAGGGCATAAGTCGGCCAAAACCTACTTCTCAATCGCCGGCCATAGCTGGACCCTCGGTTGAAAGACCCACACCACCTGTTGATGCGAGCCTACTCAAGAAGATCTTGTCACCTCGTCCGACTGAATCCCTTCGTTATGGTCAACCTTTCAACTCTCAAGTCTCACGGAGAGCGAAACGACCACTAACGGAGGTGTCTGGTCAGAATACCAAGAGGGCGAAGACAAAATTGACTCGTGAGGATTAGGGATGAGGTGGAAGGAGGTTTGGGGGTGTTGATTACTTGTTTTTCTAGCATTATTTTCATTTTTAGTTTCATCTTGTTAGCGTCTCATTCTACCTTTCTTGTATTCCGAGTACCTTGCATACGTCTTTTTCTTCAATATGTTATCAGTAATCTCTTTTTTTGAGTTCCCTTTTTGTGCGCTTCTCGTTTTATCTTTTGCATTTCACGCGCAATGTTTCTCTCATTGCGCCACTGTGGTCTTGTCGTAATCAATTTTTCAGCAACTGCGCGATATCAATGACAGATGTCATGCTTGCAGTGTATACATACCCAGAGTCTCCGCGTACCTTGAAAAGAATTGTTAAGCTATTGCATCGCAAAGTTTTTTCTTCGGCCTTGTAGCTGCCGATGCTCGACTTACTGGCCATGATGGGAATAGGTTTGGTCTTGTGAGAAGATCGGAGCGTGAGGCTAGGGTGGTTTGTTAAATAAGCTAAAACGCAAGACGGCCCCGGAGGGTCAGACTCGTGAATTGCAGCATATGAAAAACCTGGAGACCCGATGGGGCGGCACGCTACAAAACACAACTAACTTGTACATAAAAGAATATAAAGGGTGGGTGAGGTGGGTGACAAAAAAGCGCTTATAAAAAATAAGAGAAAGATTGAATAAGAGCTAAGGCCCCGTTTGGGAGCGGTTATTTTACCACGGTATTTGCGTAATCGCATCAATACCACAGTGGTACAGTTGTACTATGTTTGGTACCTTAATTTGCCACGGTAATGTACCACAGGATTTGGACAATAATCTCACCATACTGTGGTAATCCAGTAATCGACAAAAAGCTCTTTATGAAAAATAAATCCGCACGGTGAAAGGGGACTTAGCCAAATTTGCTTTTACCCCTCACATCCCTCCTTCCTAGGACTTCCTCTGATTGCCCTAGCTTGCCCTCTCTTACCGGCTCTTCCACCCCCCATCTTGTCTGTTGGAGTCACCACACTGTGTGCTTCTCAACTAATGTTGATGATAAGATCCTGCTAGATAAACAACGGATCATAAGATCCTATTAGATAAACAATGGAGCGTAAGATCCCATCAGATCAACACCCCATTATAAGATCATAAGATCCGTATTTGGATGTGTTTGTTGTTGCCCTACCGTTTGTTATTATCTTTTGTATATAAGCAGAGCTACACTGGGGAAGGGTTTGTTTCCCTCATCCTGTCCATTTCATCTTGTCTACGCTCTAGGTAAGCTTTCCACATGATTCATGACTATTCCTCTATGGAATACAATCCTTGTTTCCTTTTCATCTTGTGTACACTCTTGTTGATCACACCATTGTCCTCATCCGAATCATCACTTCTGTTGACTCAATTACCTATCCGATCAATCTCAGTCAAACAAATCCATCAAGATGCCGAGGGTCTCCAGTACTGAGCAAGGGAAGACACCTCCTAACTTCACGCATGCCAAATCTCGAACCATCATCAATGGCTTGATCCTCCAAAAGCTTGCGGGCAAAAAGTCGGACTCGGGCTTCAAGCCTGAGGCATGGACTGCAGTAACAGATCAGTACAACGAGACCTACAAGACTGAACTGACAAAGGAACAGCTCAAGAATCACTTTCAAGCAGTCAGTCCATTCATCTATATCAATCTTCCTTTTCCTGGCACTCATTACAATTCATGTCTGAGCTTACAGGTGAAGAAGCAGTATGGCATTGTTCATCAATTGAGGGGTACATCCGGTGTTGGCTGGGATGAAGCTACAGGAATGCTTATCGCTGATCCAGATTTCTGGGCAAACTACTCAAAGGTACGTCTTGAATAAGATGAAAGGGATTCTTATGACCACTAAAATCAATTTCTCAGTCCCACAAAGGGGCGGCAGTTTATGAGAAGAAGCCGTTCCCCCTTTACTCTTTGATGAACAAGCTCTGTGGAGACACAAATGCTGCAGCTGAAGGTATTCGAGGCACTCAGACAAGCACTCGAGCTCGTGGTGAGGCCTCGTTGACAGCCGAAGAGCTCGCATTGGACGACGATCCTGAGGCTGATCCTGACCAAGACCTACCCTCTGTGGAAGAGCTTACTCAAAGTGCGTATACAATCCTGTTTCTTTGGGTGAGCTTACTGGAACTGACTTGTTCACCGGATGAAATGAAATTCAGCTCACGTCGACATGAGTGTTGACACACCTTCTGAGACCGAGATTACTCAAAACGACCCTTCTGTTACAACCACGTCTTCAACATCTGCCAGCTCCAAGCCTGTGTCTTCCAGAATCGGCGTTCAAACTCGTGTAAGGCCAAACAGCAAAGCAAAACTTGCCTCATCTTTGAATGAAGCTGTGGCTCATCAGAAAATGAGTGCGGCCCAATCAATCACCCGCGAGACTTTGCGTGCAAAAACTCTCGAGGAACACGATGCTCGCAAGCTAGCTCTGATTCAAGATCAGGCCCGTTTAGAACAACAATCAATCTCTCTCAAGAACACCAAGCTTCCTTCGCAACGCGAGGCATTGAAGATATTTGCTGAGGATGCTGAAGTGTATTTTAAAGACTTGTCTGCTCGTCTCAAAGCCTCAAAAGTATTTCGAAACAAGGAGAACTGCTCCTTCTTCATTGAATTACCCGATGAGTTGAAATGGGCTTGGCTTTCTGATGAGGTTGCAAATGGACAAGCTTGAACCGTTTTCAGTCATTTGTGAACAGCCTTTGTATCCTTTATTTGTTTCAAACTATTTCATCTTCATTTCTCTTAAATATTCATGTCGATCTGATTATGAGTCATGTCTTGAAGTGTGAAATACATACAAAGCAATTAGGAATGTGATAAAACTCAAAAATGATTGATTGGATAGAACTCAAAGATGATCGATCGGATAGAACTCACAAATGATCGATCGATCACATCTTGAATTGAGAAGTGTCAAAAGAGAGTACAAATCAGAAACAACATGGCTGGAATCGATAATTACTTGTCATGGTCAAAATGAAAGAAGATTTTGAATGAGAGCGATTACTTAACCTGTTTCCTTGTCTCAGTTTTATTGGTTTGTTTGAAACTATTGATCTTTTTTGTGTAAGGCATAATATATATCATTTTGATTTTGTCTGATATTTCACCATGAAAGATTTTAATACGTGTGATCGATCAATCGAGATACAAACTGAGATTGATTGATTCTATGTTGGAATAGCATCGATTGATGGGTTGCATCTTGATTTCAAATCAACAAAAGAATTACAATTCCGAATGAAAGTATCAAATGTGATTCTTGATCAAGAGAGCTGAGATGCGTTATCAATCCATATCCTCAAATTATGCAAAGACAATGATTCTATGCATTACACTACCAATCTTCACCCTTGATAATGAGGGTGCTTAATGTATGCTTCCCACATTTCCATGGCCATCCAATCTCTATCATCCATAGCTTGAGCTCGAAGGCGTGCAGAGGCAACCTCATAAGCATGTGCCCGTTGGTTTGGCCATCTTTGTGCTAATCTAACTTGCTCGGCATCATATTCATCACAGTACAAGTCGTCCCCCCCTTTCTTCACTATCAAGTTGTGCAGCGTACAGAGGGCAATGACCAAGGAAGCCTGTCGATCAATCGGAAAAGAGTGCATAGATGTTAAAATCTCAAATCGTTTCTTGAGGACGCCAAAGATTTGCTCGATGACATTTCGTAAGCTGGCATGCCGCAAATTGAACAATTCCTTGTAATCTCGTGGGCCTTCATTACCCCGAGCCCATTCCTTCAGATGATACCTAACCCCGCAATAGGGAGCCAGAAATCCTGGCTCATTAGCGTAACCCGCATCTACAAGGTAGTAACGGCCTGCCATGACCGTTGAGATTAGAATTAAAACAAAGTATGCAAAGAAGTGTATCTCTTACCTGGAGGTACTAGAAATCTCCCTTGTTGTCTGGCCACTTCCAACACCCGTCCGTCTGCTGCCGAACCTTTGAAACCGGCAAGAACAAAATTGAAGATCATGTTGAAGGAGCATCCAGTGAGGACGTTCTGACTGAGAGTCCCTTTCCGGTTGCGGTAGAGGTCGTGATCTTTCAATGGTACCACAGCAGGGATGTGTGTTCCATCAATCGCTCCAAGACAGTCCTTGAACCATGGGAACCTCTTGCTGTCCGAAGAAATTTCAGGTGGACAAGGTGTAGCTGGACCCGGTTGAACAATGTGTAGATGGGAGACGTGTTCAAGCACAAGTAGTACAAGATTGTAGTAGCGGCTGATGGTCTCGCCAGAATGCTGAAAGCGTTCTGCAGCAAGTCGATTCGAGGCGTGATTTCCCACTATGAATAAAAATATCATGAGTTGTTCTTGCTTTGAGACGTGAATAGTATCCTCAAGGTATGGCGCCAAAATGTCCATCACATGCATGAACGTTGTTTTGTCCATTCGGCAAACTTCGGCGAATCGTACTGGACTACCATTGAGAACCTCTTCACAGTAAGCGGCACCACCAAGACAAGAAGTGCGGCATGGAATCTTTGGAGTCATCGTTGCAAGAAGCTGTTCGTAGGCTGATTGGATTGTGTTGTCTAGCTCTGGGTCTTCATCAGATTCAAAAATATCATCGGTTTTGAAAGTTGAGTAAGAATCGATTGATATGTCGGACATTTTGGATACGGCAGTATGGAGATGTTATGAAGTTGGTGTCATTCTGCCAAACAAGTATGGCCAAAAAACAGGAATTATAATTGTACCACACTTTGCAAGTGGTTTTTTGTCTTTACTGCATTATCGGACCCAAAAATGTAGTACACTTTTACAGTACTGTACACTTTATCACCGCTCCCAAACGGGGCCTAAGTTTTTTGTTGATAATAGATTCTGGATGAGTACAAATTCGAAGAATAATAGTTTGACAATGGTGGGAAACTTTTAGGAGGTAAAGAAGCTAAATAGGAATAGAGCTTCTTGAAAACCGTCAAAAGCTTGATTACCATAAGATCAAAGATTGATCTAGAAGAACCGCTTATTGTG